CCATTCAATCACTTTTTACCGCAAAATTTTCTTCATTCTTCTTTTTCCTGGATACATTATGAATAATCGTTTGCTCCACTTTTTTCATTAAGAGTCCTAGCCTTTAGAAAGAACAGGAATTGCATTTTGTTCCTACTTTTAATACCTGTACTTAACTTATTTTCATGGATTTTTTAAAATCTATTTTAATTGATATTTTGAGTAATGTAACCTTACCAGTTTTCCCTTTCAGTCACTTGCGCCGAGACTGATGCCGATGTCGTGTTCGTCATTGACACCACTTCTTCAAATAATACTTCATTCCTCGTTCAACAACATCGTCTTCTACGCATTCTTAAGTGAGCAGCGCTAACATCTAAGATGTAGATGAGACGCTTGATTTAGCGTTCCTATCGAAAGCCTCTTCAGATCTTGTTCAAAGGCTGATACGTAATCGTAAATCCCTTATAGGGACTCATTTGGCTACAATAAATAGCCGCTTCATATGATTTGACAGCTTGATGAGAGATCTTTCAGACGGCTGTCATACGTTTTAAAAGGTCGATCTGTACGCTATGGAGTGATAGGATTTAGCAAGAAGCCGGAATTGTTGCTTGAGCTCGAATCACCGTTTGCTACCGATACACAACGGGTCTGTTAGATGTCACTTTCTATTTCACTATTCTGAAAGCACTCAAAATACGAAAGCCTTTTTCACAAATTTTGAAGGTTTTGCATACAATTTACCATTAAAAAATAGAGATTTGAGGAAACTGTACATTTGTCTTCATTTATATGAGAGATGTTTGAGGCACAGTGCTAACTATCAAAAGAAAAGAAAGAACTATCTAGCTCACTCATGAGATCTGTAGGAAAGGAAACAATATAATCGGAAAAAAATACAAATGAATTAATTAGACTTAAACTTCCAACAAAGTGAAGGACTCTAAGGTCTCATTACACAAAAAAAATGAAACGGAAGTATCATTGAAAACAGAGAGAATTATGGAGTTGAAGTCGTGTCTAAACCATTCTACTTGCGCGTTACAACTACTTGCCCTATGATAAAACACTGATCTCTGAACTTTTTTGCTCTAGAAAATTGTCAGTCTTTCAAACCCATAGTTTTTTATTCCCTTGTTTTGATATAACAC